CTGGTATAAAATGGTTGATAGAAACCACACAGGGAAAGGGGACTAATACTGACCTGCGCTGCACGTGAGTTGCGTCGCGCAAAACACCCGAAAGCGGATTTCTCGTACGGCTTCCCATGCAGATGTCCCGAACACGCGGCAGCCAGAACGCAGGAGTAGACCGCACCGATCACATACCGCCAAGTCCATGTCCGGAGGATTGCGTGAATAGTCATCAGACTTCTGTTTGTCATTCGAGGGTGCAGTATCCGCTTCTGTGACATCAGAGACGGTCTCATCTGACAGAGGTCCGTTTTCCGAACCAGACGGACACGCTTGTGAAGGAACTTTGGAGCGTGTAGTTTTGGCGCGACGATGAGGACACCTGATGGTGGTGGAAAAAGATAAGCGTTATTCATGAAATGTAAATGCAGAACACGAGGTTAATAAATCGTCCACGAATGAGTTTGGAAACACAGTCGATTGCTGATTGGATGTACCGTAGAATATTTTCGTTCGGAGGGTCTATCAAACAATACAAACTACTGCTAAAACTGAACGTTTTTCAGTATCCATGTACTTTCTCATGGAAGGAATGTGTTGCTCACTTGATCTGTCCAAACTCAATTATAAAACACGAAAACGCATGAAGATCCAGTTCCAACCGCCAAAATTGTAACACTATAGGCATGAAAACATATTTTTATGGAGCGGATCAGAATAATTTTCTATTTGTATTGTATTTGTATTTTGTATTTGTATAAATTTTGCGAGCTGGGATATGCTTACATTACATTTGAAAATTGTATACTGGTCGTCACACCGGAGAAACTAAAGAAGTATAAACAAATTCAATAGAGTGCTGTGTAAAAAACATAAACGTCTCTAAAGTTTGGTCCATTCAATTAAAGATTGACGTAATTCATTTATAACTCGTTCCTTGTTGGTCAAGATGCGAGCCAGATATAGTGCAGTGGAGTTTTTATAAATGTTTATTCGGGAGGGTAAATACCGATAAGAGGAACGAGGGATCTAGTGGGGCGACAAGATAAGTCAAAATGCAAAGGATGGGTGGGGTCGTTTAGAATTTTATTGGCAAAGGTCAT